CATTTTTCCAAGAGATGCAGCAAAAAGTTGCAGGTGTAAGAAAGAAGTGAATCAAACGTCAGTCTGATTTGTCAGTAAGGAGCTCTATGACCTTGAACAAGTCACTTAACCTCTCTGGGACTTATTTCCTCTGTTTAAAAAAGAAACGAATGTGTTGGTGGGGGGTAGTGATAGTGGTCATGTCAAACATGGGTGATCATTCTCGGTCTCTTCCCCTCTGGGTTATAAGTGGGGAAAACACAGGAAAAGCATAGAACTCTTCCAGAAAGAATCAGAAAAACTGAAAACTTTTATGATGAGAAGAGTAATAGTTAACAAAGGTTTCACAACCTTGCTTTAAATTTTAAAAAGTGCCTTTATATGTATAATTACGTGTACTCCTCACAGCAAGCCCGCAAGGCAGAAAAGGCAGGTATGGATTTAACGCCACTGTGCAAATGGAGTCATTCACCGAAGCTCAGAAATATTAAGCAAGTGGCTCAAGGACACAGAAACAGTGGCTGATCCAGGAGCCCAGCCAGACTGAACAGCAGCACAAAGTCCAGCCTCCTTCCACGTTCAGATGCTGTCCTCTTGCGTGACTAAGGTCTCATGGGATATTTTTGCAGCTTACTAGGTAATAGATGAGTGAAGAATTATCAACATGCAAACAAAAAGCCCCTTTTGATTTAAGGTTGTTTTTTTGTTCAATTTCTAATTTTGAGAGAGAGAGCGCATGCGCGAGTGGGGGAGAGAGGGAGAGGGAGGGAGAGAGACAGAGAGAGGGAGGGAGAGAGGGAGGGAGGGAGGGAGGGAGGGAGGGAAGGAGGGAGGGAAAGAGAGACAGAGACAGAGAATCCTAAGCAGGCTCCATGCTGTCAGTGCAGAGCCCAACACGGGGCTCGATCCCATGAACCATGAGATCACGAGCTGAGCCAAAATCAAGAGTCAGACGCTTGACTGATTGAGCCATCCAGGTGCCCCCAAACTCCTTTTGATTTAAAATAAAATTCCTTAGGGCGCAGGGGTGGCTTAGTTGGTTAAGCGTCCAACTTCGGCTCGGGTCATGATCTCACGGTTCCTGAGTTCAAGCCCCGCATTGGGCTCTGTGCTGATGGCTTAGAACCTGGAACCTGCTTTGGTTTCTGTGTCTCCCTTTCTCTCTGCCTCTCTCTCTCTCTCTCTCTCTCTCTCTCTCTCTCTCTCTCAAAAATGAATAAACATTAAAAAAGATTTTTAATGAAATTCCTTTACAGTTAAAGGAGTTACGTTATATGTGAACTACATGCAAACTAACTCATTATACATTTTCCTACAAAGTTGACCTTGATTCCCTAACAACCTATGAAGACCACTCTTTCAGTCCAAACGAATCTCTTTTAACTGTAAAGCACTACAGTGAAACTGTTATTACTGCAGCTGCCATGTTTTCAACCTTTTTGCATACAGAATAACCGACTTTGATCTTTAAGACTGATTTAGCTATTAAAACATTGAACAGGCTGCTCCCCTTTATACATGGTGGATGTCAAGAGTACAGAGGAAAGTGGCAGAAGTGGATTGATAAGGAAGTTTGGTTTGGTTTGTAACATCTAGGACTGTCACATGTCTACAGCAGTGATGATAATCCTCATCCTATTCTTTGCTCTAAAAGCCATAATCAGCCACAGCAGACCAACTACGACACTAACAAAAAAATCTTAGATATATATGGCCTTCTTCGTAGCCTCAACCTATTTTATCACTCCCTTAAGGTTCGGCATTTCCCCGTGATCCCCGCTGGTCTGCGCTTCTTATCTCCACCCAAGTCAAGGCCCTTATGATTTCTTAAGTCCACAAATCAGCAGACCATGATTTCTCCCTCCTGAACACCACTGCCAGCTAAAGAAAGGGTATGAGAAAGGAAAAAGGATCAAAGGTCAGTCTAAGGGCAAAAGAGGGGAAAATCCCAATAAAAGGACCAGAGAAAGTGGAAACTTGACGCGGGTTACATCAGTGTCCTTGTGTATTACTTCATCCTTCCCTTGCAATTCCTCTTTCAAAGCAGTTGGACAAACAGTGAGCCAGAGAAGCATGCCTGAAGTAGAAACTTGGGGGAAATCAGAGTCTAACGCTCAATGAGCCACAACCAATTATACCTCATCTGATTATCAGGCCCTCAGACACACAAAGACCACACAGTAGATAATAAAAATAAAAAAGGACATCAGAATCTTGGTCAGAAAACTTCAGTTTAAGTCCTGGTATGCTGCATGATTTCCAACAAGTGCACGATTCCCTGAGACTCACTTTTCTAACCTACACACAGGAATAACATGTCAACAATCTATTTTACAGAGTTGCTGTGAAGAGCTAAGTGAGAAATACACTACACGTTTGACGCAAGTAACTTTTTAAATCACTCTAGTGTTGTAAAGGACAATAGAATTCTTCATTGAAGACCCTCTCTCTAATCGCACTGTGTACCCATATTCTGCCCCTCTTACAAGTTATCCCGAAATGACCAACACTGAAATGGCTAGTTTTAAAATGGCTTTGCAGACACTGAAATAAACATTTGAAATAAGCATTGTGTAGTCACCTAATAAAAAGTTTATAGAGCCCAACCATAAAGTACAGCTATTCATATACAAGACTACCACTGTCAATAAAATCTACCAAATTTTAGTTCCGGTATGCTAGGTAATCTACATCTTATCTATATCCTCCCTATATGCACAGTAGTAGAAAAGCCTGGGGCTTGATATCTGAAGGACCTAAATTTGAATCCCAGTGAGGTTATCATTAAGTGGTAGGCCTTAGGCGAGTCAGACCTGAAACCTTCTCAAATGGAAATTAGGAATACTACTACCTACTTCATAGGATGAAGATTATTGTGATCATGTCTCTCCTGGGCTTAATCTGGTACCTAGTCCACTGTGCTAGCTCAATGCATGGTGGCTAATAATCTGATTGCCTTCCCATTCCCTCAGAGCAAGATATTTGTTTTTGGTGTTTTTTTAAGCAATACTAAAATTACATGATTAAACACGCTTAACAAAAACTCTCTCAACCAAATACAATGAAGGGGATTCCCAACAATAACTCACAGATTTTCAAACTGGGCCCTGAAAATTAATGTAAGGAAAGATCAATCCAAAGAGTTTAACAGTCTGACCGTCCTTCAGCAAGTCCTTTATCATATGACAGTATGTGCAGTCAAGTGATTTAAAACCTCAACTACTGCTCCCTTCAGCCACTGGGACACCTGAGGAAGGAGCTCCCCATGACAAGCAACTTCTCTAACAGCTGGGCTGACTAACAGCTCTAACACCTGTCCCTTCCCTGAGGACAGGTGAAAACAGGGAGAATAGGAGAGGACGTAGCTTAACTTGGAAAGCTAAATTAACTAAGGAAAGCAGATCAAGGAAGATTTAGGACATTAACTTCTTCAGGACTTCACCTTAAGCTTATGCCTCAACTAACTACTCTGGTCAGTCCGCACAGAGCTATATTAATATCCCTTCAGGCTAGTTCCTGTCCTGCTCTAGAGTCCGTGACTATATTCAGATCTGATCTATGACAAAGTTTTTTGGTTTTTTTAAAATATAAATGAAATTCTCATTGAAGACCAAGACTGAGGTCTAATCAGACCCCTTTTTCTCTTCCAGCTTAACAGTAAGAAACTGCTCAGTTTTTCAAACTACATGACCTTCAGACATGTGCCTTCATCCACTAATAAAGCGGCAATATATAAATCAGACTTGGCGTTGTATTTTCCCCCACAAGAATTTCATGTTTAGAACTTTCCTCATTGCCTTATGCTCAGCCTTTCAGTCAGCCTGACAGTCACCCACAACGACAGCTAAAAAAGACGCCCTGACAACACACAAAAGAACCAGAGGCAAGAGTCAGCATGCGTGCACAAACACACACATGTGATGATCTCCTAAGACAAGCTCTCAAAACTCAAAAAATCAGACAGAGATTGATGGTGGAGGAGGGTGGAGCAGGGTGGCCTGGGGAGGAGCCGGATACAAAGAAAAGATTAAGACCTGGGAAGTAAAGTGAAAAAGAACTGGGAGAGAGTATTAAGGAGGGAAGAGTCTCCCATTTACCATCTAGAGGAGAGAAGAAGGATTAGAGTAGGTACGAACTAAAGAATCTGTTGGGGAAAAACAAGAGAAAACACAGAGATTCCACCAAATTGAGACTTCAGAACCAGCCCTCCCTCCTGCTCCAATTCCGTGTTGTTGTTGTTGTTTTCTTCCAGGAAGCTACAACACAGCTTTTTCAACAGGAGGATTACACTAACAAAGCAAATAAAGGAAACCTCTGCTAAAAATGTAACCTACCTACACTGAAAGGTCTAAAGACGGAAATACTTCTTTCCCCGTTTTTTTGTAGTGGGTGTCAAAACAGAAGGGACAGGAAGGGGGGAAAGAGCAATAGTGAGAGGGGAGCAGCCAAGCTCCCGAATATGAGGAGTCTTTGGACTACATGCCTATTTTAAGTTTATCTTTTCGTGGGCAAGTTGGCAGATTCTTAAACTAAACACAGCATTCCACTCTGTAAACCACAATCTGACCCCTGGCTCCAACACCACAGAGAATTGAGGGGCATATGCAGACACAAGGCATACCCAGAACCAGCTCTTGCTTTGGGTCCTACCCTAATATCCCCAAACCGGGAGGCTAAAACTCCAGCCAGGTTTGAATGGACTAACAGTGCAAGGGAAAGGGAGGGGGAAGAAAAAAAGCGAAGTGAAAGGGAGGGCCTAAGTTTAGCCACAAAACCATGCACTTAGAGAGGCTTGTCAACGGGCAGTTAAGTGGAAAATAGTGGACACAGAGAAAGCAGCTACCTAGATAAGCACCTACTGCACGGATTATATCCCTTTTTCTTATGGGGGTGCTACACAAGAAGGAAATTACTTTTATACAGAGAAGCCATGCTCCTCTGCCCTGAGCGGCTCCCGTCGCCCGGCAGGGGGGCTGCCCGCCCAGTGAGATGTCCAGCGCCACCCTCTAGCACTCACTTACTTTCGTCCGGCCATTGATTTTGTAGTTGCCCAGCTTCCCGTTACAGTGGCGGATCAGGTCGTCCATGCTGCTCATGAGCCGCCCGATGGTTTCGCAGCCGGGCTCCTTGCCCTCGATCCAGGTGATCTTATCGCCTCGGATGTCCTTGGACGAGTCACTCTTCTGGCTGACCAGCTGCCCGTCCGTGAACTTGCCGGTGTCGTGCAGGGCGCGCACCTCGTCGCCGATCTGCTGCCCGGTCTCCTTGCCCAGGAAGTCGTCCACCACACAGATGCCGTGCTTGTTCATGCACGGCACGATGTACTCCAGCGCCAGCTTCAGCGCCGGCAGGGGCTTCGTCTGCCCGTTGGGCCGCAGGCCGCCGCCGTGGCTCAGCCCCTCGCCCGGCGTGTTGCTCGGCGGGTACAGGTTCGCCTTCTCCTGGTACTGCGACGCGCGGGCCAGCGCCTCCTCCTTCGCGGGCTCCACCTCGGCCGCCGCCGCCGCCGCCTGGCCCTGGCCGCCTGCAGCCGCGCGAAGCGGGGGAGCGGCCGCCGCGGGGTCGGT